TCTTTTTGAGACAAAAACTCACTATGCAGTTCAGGCTGGCCTTGGGCTCACTTTGTAGCCCAGGCTGGTCTTGAACTTGCAATAATCCTCCTGGCCTCAGCCTCCTGAGTGCTGGAATTACAGGTGTGTGCCATCGCGCCTGGGTTTAAACTTTCATTTCTACCTTAATTAAATTGTAATGCATTGCTTTGCATTGAGCAATTACATTTAGGAGCTCTCTTGATAGAATACACAAAAGATGTACTATGATGAAGAGGCCCATGTTTGAGTTCTGTAGTATATCAGGAGGAAAGTTGTTTATGAGAGTTCTTGTGGCAAGTTAGAAATTTTAAGCAAGGTGCAAGTGACTGTATTTGGTTTAGCAAGATAGAACTTACTTATAATTTTTTTTTTTTTTTGAAGTCTGTGTCAGCATTTGCTCCAATTTGCAACCCAGTGCTCTGTCCTTGGGGCAAAAAAGCCTTTACTGGATATTTGGGAACAGATCAAAGTAAATGGAAGGTAGGTACTGTGTAACTCATTCTTCAGTTTTCACATTGGTTAAAAAGCTGTACCCACGTAGCTATTATATTCTTGGCCCAGGTTTGAGAGCTGGGAATAAGTAGAAAAATGTGTATACATTCAACCTATCATATCTGTAGCTTTTGTATGTGTGGATTTTACAAAAATAATTTTTTTAATTATATCTGTACTGATTATTCTCAGGCCTTTCTTTTCATTATTCCCTAAAGTAGTAGTTGTCTATTACATAGTTGTCTATTACATACAGTTTACATTGCATTAGGCATTGTAAGTAACCTAGAGATGATTTAAAGTATGTAGTAGAGATGAGGGAAAGTATACCAAGCAATATTTCTAGGTTATATAGAAGTACTATGCCATTTACATAAGGGACTTGAGCATCCATGGATTTTGGTATCTTTGGGGAACCTGGAACCAACCAATCCGCTATTAATATTGAGGAACAACTATATGTAACAATAGCCATAAAACTCTTAATTTCTAAGTTACTGAATCATGGAGGATAGTTTTAAGGCTACCAGTTTTCTACTAATGTTTCCTCTCTTTTTATAGACTTATGATGCGACCCATCTTGTGAAATCTTATCCAGGTTCACAACTAGACATACTGATTGATCAAGGAAAAGATGACCAGTTCCTTTCAGATGGACAGCTACTCCCAGATAACTTCATCGCTGCCTGTACAGAAAAGAAAATCCCTGTTGTTTTTAGATTACAAGAGGCAAGTACTAGAAAATCTTAGTTTAATTTAAACACTATAACTATAAAAAAGCAAGATTCCGTAGTTCTTAATTACCATTATTTTTAAAATGTAAAACGCTACCTCCAGTGAGATGGTTTTGTGAGTTCATTGTTTTTTATTTTTTTTGGAAATCTGCATGTCCATTTTATTTTCATTAGAAAAATATTATCTATATGGAAATCAGTGTGGAGATTCCTCACAAAACTAGGATTAGAGATCCCACTTAACCCAGCTATTCCCCTTCTGGGTGTTTCTCCAGAAGAACTGAAAATACACCATATCGATATATGTGCGCCCATGTTTATAGCAGCACAGTTTGTCATAGCCAAATCTTAGAAACAACCCAAATGCCCATCAACAGAGGATTGGATAAAAAAGATGTGGTATTTTTATACAATGGAGTATTTATTACTCTATAAAAAGATAAACTTGAGGCTTTTATAGGTAAATGGATGCAACTAGAGACCATACTCATAAATGAAACATACCAGACCCATGTGTGTAAACATCATATTGTCTAGTGTAAGAACCTGAAAGGATAAATAAAAACATAAAAGGTACAATAGATGTTATGAAGAGGAAAGAAATTGCTTAAAGGGAAGGAACAGCTAGGATGAGGGAAAGGACAAACGAAAGGGAGAAGGAAGAGAAAAAATATGTATACACAAGGATAGCTGGGATAATTGTACTGCTGATGTCTTACTGGTTTATTAAAAGGAACAGTTAATGCTTAAATTTTTTTGACCAGTTTTGTGTGCTTATATCTGGTAATCTGAACAATTAATTTGAAGACAGCAGTGTGCAATAAGACAGCCATAGTTGAATTCCTACCATCTTGTTTAGTGAAGCTTGTGTTTCTAACTTTTTTATTATTAGTTTTTATTCTCTTTAATTGTTTGATCAGTCTTGCATTCTTACATCTGGTAATCTGAGCAACTTCATTGAAGTTAACAATATGTAATATAACAACTATTGTTAATTTCCTATCTTGGGGGCTGGGGATTTAGCTCAGCGGCAAAGCACCTGCCTGGCAAGCGCAAGGTCGTGAGTTCAGTTCCTGGTACCGGAGAAAAACCAAAAAAAAAAAAAAATTCCTATCTTGTTTTGAAATTCGGTATTATTTTTATTGTTTTTGTGTTGTTTTATTTTTGTCTTTTTTTTTCTCTTTAAAATTAACAAAAAAAGAATATAAGAAAAATAATTTCAGACCCCTTTTTCTTCATGTCTACATTCAAATTTGAGTAATTTAACTTTACTCAAGTAGAAGCAGAATCACACTGGTGCCTCAGTTTATGAACTTAATTCATTCTGGAAAAGATGGCCATGTTCATGTTCATGCAGGAAAGATCTGAAGCCCTACCTATGACCCCGTGAGGCTTTGAGAGGACATCTAGACATAAGCCATAACACAATGAAATAAGGACAAATTTCTCCCTTCATTGTTCTTCATTTCTTGTGCATATCTTAGCCTCACAAGCTGAGCATTACTCATGACACACACTCATGCACTTTACATTAGTCAACTTTTATGCTCATCTATTTGCAGCCCACAAATTTTCCTTGACTAGAATACTTCTAACTATCCACTAAGAACCTATTCATGCTACTATAGTTTTGTGTAAAGAAACTTTGGCTTTTTTAAAAATATTCATTAGCTTCAGAATATAATATAATCAAAATCTGTGTTTGAGTGTAAAAATGAGCATTAAAAACTATATATGATCATGATTTTTTAAATTTTATTTTTAAGAGTGATAGGTCAGGAACAGTGACATAAGATGCAGTCATGGTGGTAACTGTTCATAATTCTAGTTGTGTTATGTGGCCCTTTATAGTTTATAAAATAGTTTCACATTAACTCATTTGCAGTACTTATGCCATTGATGAAAGATTATCTCTTTTCTGTCAGCTTTACAGATGAGGAGAGAGGCTAAGAAAAGTGATCTACTTATCTAAGGTGACACAGCTAGCATTTGATAGAACCAGGACTAAAGTAAGGTCATGACTGAAGATTCCATTCTATCATCTGTCTAGACATTTCCAGATAATGTGATGTGCTCCTAAGGAGCAAATGAACGGGTTGTACATAACTTGCTACCTCTCTAACTTAGGCAGCAGATCATAGCAATCTCCTTGCTTATGGGGATGTTTTGACATGTGAACAGTTTATGTATTTTATATATAATGTGGGGCAATCTATCAAAAACCAGTACTACAGATACGTGTATATCCTGTTCTCTTTATATCTCCCTTATACAATAGAACTTTTTATGTCTGTGTGAACATTTGCCATCACAGTAACATTTAGGTCAGCAACCAACTTTGAGAAATCCAAATATAAATTGGATTATAAATGCAGTAGTAAGTTTGACTGTATTAACAATAGCTATAAGTGACCATATTTTTTTCCAAATGACCTTAACTTCTTGGCATTAACCCTATTAGATGTCTGTTATGGTTGATACATTGTGTCAACTTGGGGAGTCTAGAGGCTTGGCTAAGTGACTTAGCAGGAAGCCAGAGTGCTTACTTTGTATGCATCCTGAGCCTGTGGAAGAGGAGGGCATGGAGATTATGTGAGAGCTACATGCACCTTAGGTGGGGGTAGCCTGTTTACAAAGTAAGGCAGGGAAAGAAGCTGCTTGCCGCCATTCCTCCTTTTTTGCTCTCTGCTTTGCTGTTCCGCTGCCGTTCCCCCCCTTTGCTCTTGTTGGTTTGCTACCTTTTGCCTCGGAGCCAGCCAAGTATGGACTAAAACCTCCACAAACTGTAAGCTAAATAAACCTTTCCTTCCTTCATTTTGGGCGTTGGGTATTTTGTCTCAGCAACGAGAGAAAAGTAACCAAGACAATGTCTTCTACTTCACATGAGGCTGTACCAGAAAACACTGTTGTTATGAAGTGTCTGCCTGCCAGCAGAATCTGAAAATCCCTGGAGTGTGTTACCAAAAAAGCCTAGAGTTAAAACACACATGACATTCTTGGAGGCCTGTAAAGCAACCACAATAAAAATGTGGTTGGCTGAATTTATGAGGAGTCAAGACAGAGACAGTTGTAAAAATAGTTTGAAAAGTATTAAAATCACCATTCACAGCCTTGAACTCAGGCAGTTTTTCATTCACTTCCCACCTTTGTCAGGAAGGGTGGTGAGCTACAGGTCTCGGGTAGGTTGCATTTAAGTTTGTCGTCGTTGAGTCAACAACCAAGTAGAACTGTCTGAGTACTGATTCCAGAGAGGCCACTTTCAGATTTTCCAGTCAGTTTCCATTAACCTCAGGTTACCTCAGGTCTAGGAGCTTTATCATCTGCTTTATTATTTGACTGGAAGTATAGTATAACTGTATTTCTTTATGAAACACAAGCTATGAAAAAATAAAATAAGCTAAAAATAATGAGGGTGTATATATAAGAAGGGATCTAAGAAAAGGGAAAGAAAACTGTTATAATCATGAGATGATTTACCTAATTTCATTGCTTTACATCTTTTTAATGGTGTTAGATGCTCACAATTTATAGCCTGTCAGCTGACAAAAAATAAAAAGTCCTTCAAGAGGGAGGAATTATTGCAAGGGAATATTTATTTGGTTATTTTGTGTAGTTTTTATTTTTTGGCTTCAGAGAATCTAAATTTGAAAGAAAAAAAAAGCAATAGTTCACAAAATTCCAATTGCTATATACAGAGATCAGATACTGTTCTGAAAAAGAAAGGCTTAGTACCTATGACATATCTTTAGTTGAAGTTACATAGCAAAAACATTCAGCGACTTGATAGTGAGGAAATTTCCAGGAACAGCATTCTTTTCTTGGAGTCTAGGAAAAGAGGCTATCCTAACTCCTCATGTTTTAGGATCTTTATTGAGATTCAAAGGCTCTTTTGACCTCAGCATCTGTAAGAACAGAGAGTTCCAGAAATGAAGGGCTCTCATCTCTGTCCCCATGGTTAAGCACAGTTATCTGGCGCATAGACTCTAGGGATTTGTTAAATAAACATGAATACCTTCGCCTGTGTTTTTCTCTGTACTCTGAAGAAATCTAACAACCTAGGAATAAGCTTTTCTAATTGGGTCCGGAAAATATGTAGAAAAGCACTGCCTCTTAAAATAAATGTCTGTCATAGCTGCTAGGACAGTGCTTCCTTTTTAAGAGTTGAGTGAAGAATGAAAGAATGTGTTTGTCTATTTTTATACTCCAGAAGTCAGTTTTGCTACTGAAGATTTTTCCATTTAAAGTGTGAGGTGGAGGAAAGTGAGGCCCCTTCCAGTTTCACTAAATATAGGCAGTTGCAGAAGCTGCATAACATACTAAACAAACTCATTAGTCAAAGAATGTAATGAAAGTAGCTGCCCCACTTAATAAGATTGATAAGCAGAACTTAAAACTAGCCAAGACAACGTAGTTATTCCTAATTGTAAAAGTTCAGCAGAATGCCAGTAGTTCAAGTGTATTCTTTTGCCTCTAGGCTGACATTTTAAAAAATCCTTCTTGGTCTCTTGTAACAGGCATTTTCTACTTTCTCATAAAGTGACTCTTAACTTTAAATATCATTATGGAAGTTAAGGGCATTTGCTTTGGATTTTAGATGAAATATACTGTACTGTTATCCTCCTGCAGTACATTCTTTTTTTGTTGTTGTTTTTTTCCGGTACCGGAAATCGAACTCACGACCTCACACTTGCAAGGCAGTCGCTGTGCCGCTGAGCTAAATCTCCAGCCCCCTGCAGTACATTCTTGAAAGTTCAAAATTGCCATTCTGGTTTACCGTGGGACTTCTCAAATAATACTGCCAGCTATAACAACTGTCCACCATTCACATAAAACTGTGTAAGACTCAGCATACGAAAAACGAAGGATGAAAATATGGCACGCTAAGCCATTAGATCTTTCGTCACAGTTCTTCTGCAGCATCTGTTTTGCTGTATCTAGACATTTTCTGTCGTATTGATCTTTTGATTTGTGTAAATTGGCAGTCACTACTTTTTCTTGGTTTTCACAGGAACATGCTTTTCTTTAAATTTCTTTCCTTAGGTCTAAATTTAACCAACTGCAACTAGTGTAATTACTGAGAGATGTGCAGTCAGATAATTCAAGCCTCAGCCTGAATCTTGACAACCCTCCTCTTAGATTCAGTTCCACAATAGATTGCTCTTCCGTTACTTTAGTGACTTATTTAGTTTTAGTGCTCTAAAACTTCTAACTACTGTTCTAATACGAATATGCCATGACTCTCAGGAAGTAAGAGATTTAGATTTACTGATCGATCACAATCTAGGGGAAACACCATGATATTTTTATTTCTTATGTGCTTATAAGAAATTCCCATTTTCCCCCACCAGCCACTATTTGCTAGTTAATTTTAAAACTTTAAACATATTAATTAGACTTATCTCTTCTAGTTTATTCTGTCTTGTTTTTAAATTGTGGTTAAGGTGGATGGCTGACTCAAAATTATCTGGTGTTAAACACCCTGAAATAGTTATTCCCACTTAAGGTTTTTTTTTTTTTTTTTTTCATTTTTCTCTGAAGGCTGTGTACAGGAGGTGTCATGGTCACCAGAGAAGGGGCTGCCTCTCTGTTTTCCTGTAGCGCTGGTTTTAACTGATTGGGTAAACTGAGGTGTTTCTCAGCTGCTTGCCCCATTACATTTTCTTTGTTTCATGTTTTCAAAGTTTCACTGACTTCCTACCCAATTCAGCATGGCGTTTACTGAATAATTCCTTTTTCTTCTAATAAAGACATGGGGGCTAGGGATTTAGCTCAGCGGCAAAGCGCCTGCCTGGCAAGCGCAAGGTCATGAGTTCAGTTCCTGGTTCTGGAAGAAAAAAAAAACAGACAGACATGTATAGGAGGTAGAATTATTTTTATGTATTTTTTTTAGTGCATACTTGTTTTACAAAATCCTGGGTTCACTGTGATATTTTCATACATACATATAACATTTTCTGATCATATCTATCCCTCCTGTCAGCATTGCCCTCCTTTACACCACTCTCATTTACCCCGCCCTATTACCCCCTACTTATTCCTACTTCTTATCTAATAGTCTAGGACATGGAATTCTTAAGATGATGTATGATGGCTGTATTGGGCTTCTCAAACAGTAGTAGAGCTTTTAAGGATTTTTGTGTTTGTCCCTATATGTTTTGTGTGGTTAGTTTGTATTTTACCAGTTCCTATATTAGGGATGTCAGTGTGCTTCTTTAGGAATTAAAATGTTTCTAAGCTCTCTACATCTTGATTTTAATCCTTGTATGTCTGACCACACATGTACTCTGACATTTAATTGATATGCCATTTCTTCTCTTTGCATATTAATAACAGCTTTGGAAACCAGGCTGTGTGAAATGTTTAGCTTTTCTTCATATTTTTCTTGCTCATTTAATATACAAAGAAAATGTTAAAGTACAGTATGACAATTTTAATTTTGATTAAAACTTACATTGTAATATTTTGACAATTTACAAGCAAATGAAATGTGAGATGTACATTTAATGTCCCTAACATGAATGTTTCTCAATGATGGATAAATGCCTTGTCATCTCTGTATTTTGTCTTCTAGGGTTATGATCATAGTTACTACTTCATTGCCACCTTTATTGCTGATCACATCAGACATCATGCAAAATACCTGAATGCATGAAGAACTTCTGATGAAATTATCTCAAGATTATAAAAGTTGAAAGAATTGATGAGAAAAAAGGATTATTAAATACAGGATTTCTAATGCTAAAAGAGCTTCCTTCCACAGTTGAATCACCTTTTGAATGAATACATAAAACCTGCTTCTGATTTTAAAAGTGACTTTACATAGGAAAATTTTAATAATTCTTTTTTGCTGTCATTAGAAGTCTTTGTTATATTAACCTTAAGTCACTGAATGTGAGTATAATCCTCTTCATATCATAGAATACTAACTGTGGAACAGAGGACTTAAAGATTATTTAGCCCAGATTCCCCGTTTTTCCAGACTTTCAGCATTTGAAATCATGGACTGTTGACTTGATTTGTAGAAGGCATTTAATTAGTGGTTGCCAGCGATAGAGCAAGGAAGTAGGCTCAGAAAAGTGAAAAGAATACCACCATTATATCTGTGGGACTGCTAAGACTAGAAAACAAGTTTCTAAAACTCCAGTCCAAAGATTTTTCTTATTTTTTGAGCTGACTAAATCTGTGAGTGTTGGTTGTTGTGATAAGTCTCTCATGAATTAAATACGGTAAATCCCTGACTTAAAAACCAGCCAGAGAACGTTCATAAATCAGATCCCGTTTATAAGTCCGACAAAGTGAGTCTTGTATACCTTTGACACACATGTACAGTGTTAAGCGTAAAAAAACCTAGCACCCACAGAAACACTGTAAATTATTTTTACTTTTACAGTTACCTTAAAAACTTTTACAGTTACTCATGAAGACTCATGAGCTAAACTAGAAATGTTCCTAATAGGAGGTTAGATGACCTGTGAAAATTCAGCGCTCAGATGTCTGTAAGTCAGGGACTTTACTGTAATAAGATTTAATCTGAAAGGACTAGAGGAAACTGACATATTTTATGTTACTGTAAATAAGTATTTTTCCTTAATCATGCAGAAATTTAATTTGGTAAGCTCACCAAGAAAAGTAATTGATTTTTTGGTAAATACTAAATTATGTTCCTTTATAAGCTTAATAAAAAATTTTTTGAAACAGGTTTGCTTTTTTAGTATAGTTTTTTTTCCTATTAAAGAGCACAAAGGTTACTCATTTTAAACATTCAGTAAGAAATCATGCTAAATGGTAATCAAGGAAGACAGCATTAGGTTTTTAAAGTTACTAGTACTGGTTTAATGTAGATAGTACAAAAATTAGTACAGTTTAAATAAATATCAGTAATCAAGATTGAGTCCTAGAATGAGCTATGCACAAAGTAATTCTAGTCTTGCCTGTTTGTGAATAAAGTTTTTTTCTAAAAAGCAAGGAATTCATTTGTGAGATTGTGTCCTGTGATTTCAGTGACCACAAGTTATAAATAGAGTGTGGAGGATGTCTGAGGCCATCCTTGCCCTGCCCTTTGAGCCGGGTTGAAAGGAGAATATCCCCACTTTGTGCTGATCACAGCTGAAGCCCTAAGCTAGTGATGCTGTGGCTATCATAGAGAAAGACAGTGATACAGGGGAAAGAAACTCCTAACTAGCTAGATGGCCTGTACAAGTTCATGTTCTCTAAAGTCAAAGAATGAATTCTAGGAACAGGTTAAGAGCAAAATATACTGGGGAAAAGAAAGCGTCTGTCAGAGAGAGACCAAAAAGGTCCTGAGTGGGTTGCAAGGACCCTGCCTTTTCTAGGGATTTTTATAGAACAAAACCATGAGGTGAGGCAGGGTCAAGGTGGGGAAAAATAGAAAATCACAAAGTGGGCATCAGGTGGGACAAAACTATGATCAAGATTACAAGTTAATTACTCAGGTAATATTGATTAAATTGGTATTAAGTGGATACAAGTCCTAAAGCAAGCAGGCATGAAACAATATATTTTCCTGGAGGGAGTAGATCAGTGACTCTTCTGGCTTTCCCTAGGTGATATCTAGAGTATCAGTCCCTGCTGTTTATCCTTAGGAGGGGTATATAGGGGGATTCATTACGTTTTTTATCTTGAGGTCTGTCCCGCAGCAGAGGTGCCTGTCTCCCCCCACAGTTACAGTGTATCCTGTCTTACTCGCTGGCTCCTTTGAGGGCCTAGCTCTGTCTGCCTATAGTATTTCTACCTAACTTAGCTCTTTGGGAGGAATAATAGGACCTGCTGAAGATGACAAAGATCTTTAAAGCAATATAGTAGCAATAGTAAAAAGTGTCGCCCGGGAAACTAGGGGAAACGATTGGGAAACTATTGCCCCTTGTTTCCTCCCTGCAAGAATGCTCTCTTCTCTTCACTAGCCCACAGCAATCGCCACTGCTGTGCCTTGAATCAGTCACTGTCCCTCCCCACGCACTGGTTAATAAAATAGTGGCAAGCTAGAGAGTCTGCCCAACCTGAGACACTTCCCACTCCCCTGTCATGTACTACTAAATTGTCTTATTTTATCCTGTGACTGGACCCCTTATACAGGCAGTTGGAGATCTTGGCCAGGCCACAGTAGGAGCCCATTAAGCAAGTCTGATGTCAGAAAGCCAGCTGTCAGGAAGGGAAGATCACAACCAGCAGGAACTCTGGCTATGGTATCAAGCTGTTGTCCACAGGTGAAGTTTCTTCCCTGGGGAAGTCTCAGACTTGCTTTTCCTGCATTCACAGCAGGACTGCAATTTGTGTTGCCGCCAGGCGTCTTGAAACACCAATGGTATATGCATGGCTGTCAAGTGGCTAGGACCATTTGACGGGACTGTGCCATGCCGTACTGTGTGCTACTCATGCATATACCGCTGGTTCAAGCCAGTGGGGATGTGTTAAGGTCTTCTGTTTGAGTAAGGCCCACCAGATCCTCTCCTTATTTAAAATCAGATGATTAGGAACTTTATATCTGCAAAATTCCTGCACAGCAATAACTAGACTGATGTTAGACTTGTTGAAGTGATTGTAATCTAGCCAAGTTGAAACATCATTTTAACAAAATAACTACTTCATGTTTTTGCAGGGTAAATGCAAAACTTTTAAATACAATGTAATTAATTGCTAACGTATGTCTAATGATACCTATAACAAAGACCCTCAGTTACAGAAATGACCATTGAGGATATACAGGAAGCCAGTAAATTTGAGCTTGTGATATAGGGGAAAGAAACTCCCAACCCGCTAGATATCCAGTACAAGTTCATGTTCTCTAAAATCAAAGAATGAATTTTAGGAACAATAGAGGTTAAAAGAATATATTTACTGGGAGAATACATTTATTGCTTGCAATGCATGTATCTAACAAATTACCTGTATCTAATAAACTACCAGATATTCATACAAAGAAAAAGAGATAAATCAACAGAAGAATGAACAAAGAAATCTGAATAATTTCTTCATGAAATAAAAGTGTCTTACTAGCAATAAAAAATTACTTCATGAGAAATGCAAGTAGAACTACAGTGAAATGCAGACTCACATCCCACTGAATGACTAAAGGAAGCAGAAAATTCCAAGTTTTGGCAGGGCTGTATGGTAACCTGAACTAGGAGGGAAGGCGTCTACTAAAGTAGAACACACGTGTGTCCCTACATAATTCCACCCCAGGGATCAACCAACAGAAGTACAGCTGCAAGCAATATTGATAAAAGCCAAAACCTGAAAATAGGCTGATTGTCTATCTGCATTAGATACAATGAAATATTCTACATGAATAAAAATACACTCCAACTAGATACAGCAAGATGGAAGAGTCTCAGACATAAACTGAAGTAAGAGTCCAGACCAAATATTATATCCCGTACAGATCAGCTGGTGCCGTTTCATACAAGATTTCGGGTCAAACAAAACTCATCTATGCTGTTAGAAGTCAGGATACTTTGTTCATAGCAAGGGGAGGAGTGAGGCCCAAGGAGGTGATTGGTGGTGGCATGAGAATACCTTTGGGATATTGGTGAAGATCAAGATCTTTCTAGGTTGTTTTTATATGAGTAGGTTCACTAAAAAATTGTGCAGACCATGCACAAGATTTCTACACTTCAGTGTGTATTATTATTCAATGAAGTTTATGTTAAACTTGTATTTAGTAGTTATTCTGTGGAGATTATGCATATACACTACATGAAAAAAATCTCCATGTTATTACAAAGAATATTTATCTTGGGGAATAAAATTCTAGAAGCCTCACCGCTCATGGACTCAACTATGTTGTGTCTGAAATCACTTGGAAGTGAAGGTGATGTATAGTGCAGCAAAAGTGGTTCTAAGGTTGTCACTGATCTTGAAGATGTAAGTATAGAGTTCAGATAAAATTTCACAAAGCCTTACAGTGGCACAATGAATGTTTCTGAACTGACATTAAAATATTTTTAAATGTATATATAATCTGTGAGAAATAGAATGATTTTATAAAGCATACAAACATTCAAGTTAAACAACTGTTTTGGATATTAGTATTTCAGAGACAGAGATTCCTTCCCTGTTTAAAGTTGTTTTGTGTTGAAGCACATTAGGTATATAGCAAATTACAATATTTTATGAGACTTCTGAAACCAAATTCACTTTATTAAAAGTTTTTTGTTCTTCTAAACTTTCATTTTCAAAGCCTGCATACAGAATAATCTAAAGGATTGGAGGTTTGGGTGAAAAAAGAAAATGCTGCTGGGACTTCAGTGGGAAGGATGCCAAACAACTGTGATAGTGGGTATGAAGAAACTGGCAGAAGTGATGGGGCAAACAAAGGTCCAAGAATGACTACAGGAACACAGGGCACAGTTTCAATGGAGGACACATTAGGACAAATAAGGGTTTACTAAGGTGGCTAGAAACAAGATCAACATGTCACACTCAGGGATTTTCCTATACATCTAATCAAAAATTATAAGATGATCCCTTTCACAGTATCAGCAAGAAATGAAATTACCTAGAGATCAAGAATTGGATAAGACCATGACTAAAGTAAGGACCAATATATTCATAGGCACAATAGTGTAATGCTGTTAATATGTCCAATATTAATCTCTGAATGCAATATAATCCTAATTGGAATCTCAATATTGTTAATGGAGCTGGACAAGCTAATTATAAAGTTGAAATGGAAGAACATGACAACATAGTTTGAGAAAGAACAAACTGTTCTACCAGGTGTCACAAGGTACATTATAAAGCTGTGATAATTAAAATGGGTTTGGACTCAGACTTCAGGAGATCAGAAAGTCCTGCCACAGACACAAATGGGAATGCTAAAGGTAGCATCTCAAATCAGTGAAGAAAATAAGGACATTTCCACAAATGGACCTGCAGAATTATTCATCAGCATCTTCACAGGGAGACACATGAGAAGGGAACCGTGCAGGGTGTGCCTAGCAGCCTTGTTTGTAATGAAGCAGATATGAAAACAACTCCAAACTAAAATTTGTGAATAAAAATAAGCCCCTGAACAAAGCACATAATTTGATACTATACAGTTTCGAAACTATCAAGGTAATATTTACACTTGCTATAGGTGCATATTTTATATTTTATAACATTTATATTTATAATACATTTCATAGGAAAAGATGTGGATGAAAATAATGGGAGTTACTTCCAGGAAAGAGGAAGAATGACAGTAAAAAGCAAAAGGGCTTTATTTTAACAGATGATGTCATTTTCACAAACAAGTTATTTGTGTATATTTTGAATTTAAGAATACTAGTTTTAAACATTAATGTTTAGTGGATGTTGAAAACCAGAAAGAAAAAAGTATTTTCCCCATCTCTGTCAAGGCTCAGACACTCATCTAAAGATGTTCCTTTTTTTAAAATCACGCATAATTTTATCACTAAGATTGATATTTTGCTGTACTTCCTGCCTTTTTTTCCTCTTCTATTTTTTACACCTTATAACTCCTGTATATTTGCTTTACTAATTTGCCCAATATGTTCTGAATGTAGACATCATTTTCCCACCAGTCACATTTCAGCAACATGATTGGGTTATGTAGACATAGCATGATTTGGAAAAGCAATGCCCTCTGGCTAAGCATTTAGCCTGATTTCAATTTGGGGCTATTATTAATAGCCTGTGGGGCCTCTTTTATACTCCTGAGAATTTAAGTTCCGTTTTAAAAACACACTTTTGATGGAATTTTTGTAGCTTTCTTTGCAGTACTGAAACTTTCAGAAGAAAACCTGACACAGGGAGCAAGTGGCAAACATGAGAGCTCCTTCCCCCAAATTCCTTTACCACAGCTTCTTTTTTAATTGCAAATTTTGAGTAAGAATTAAAAATACTGTGAGGTCAATAGAGTATGTGTTGTACTATTAACTTGTACTCTGTGCATACCAATGTGATCAGTAGAAATATAATACTTTTCTCCAGAA